GTGTGTGTGTGTGTGTGTGTGTGTGTGTGTGTGTGTGTGTGTGTGTGTGTGTGTGTGTGTGTGTCACATTTATAATCTCTTAAATTGTGCACCGAATTGATGTTACGTCTTAATAACGGTATCTTGATATGATACTTATGTATAGAACAATAAAGACGAATAATTGTTGTAAAAAAAAAAACGATATAATGTATTTACATAGTGCACATTGTATAATTTTTTTGAATAGAAGCTATGTGCGTCTTTTTTACAATTGATTCATTTTATTACTGTGTATGAAAGTATTAGAGTATGTGCAATTATCAAAAATGAATAGTCTTATAAAAAGATGTTATATTTAAAAAAAATATCTTTTTCATTTTATAGCATCTGACATCAAATATTTCAGAAATTATTAATTTTTTATATATCTCTGCCTCAAGAGCTTTTATATCCATAATTATATAATAAATGATTTTATGTAAAAAAAAATCATATTATTCATATTTTATAAAAATGGCAATCCTCCATGTGACCTCAAACAATCGATTTTCTTAAAAATTGATTTTACCATTATTTCCTTCTTTAGATCAACTTTTGCTTGAGAACATTCTTTTGTTTAAAAACTTGGAAAAAAATTCTAATAAAAATATTATACTAAAAAATAAGAATAGACGGTCCATCCGCTATGCATCTTTAATTAAATTAAGAAGCAAGAAGGATACAGATGGTAATGCTAAACTTAGTGTTAATTATACTTCGAGAAATCCTTAATAAATATAAGTTGAAAAATTGATCTTGTTATATTAAAAACTAGATTTTTTGCTGTTTTTATTTGTGTTACAATCTTGTGACTGTTAATGACTTTCAAAAACTTTTTAAAATGAAACCAGCATTTTTGTTTTTAAAGTAAATTTTTTTCTTACCTTTTAAAAGTTTCTCGATGCGCTCTCTGCATTTGATGCACTGAATGGGCTAAAAGCACATTTTTATTGCTTGATTTATCCGTGATGAAAGAAAAATTCACACAAAATACGTATTCCGACGGTAATTACGACATCGTAGAAAATATGGTTGAAAATTAATAAAAAAAGAAGTCGCTCCATTCGCGACATGGCACGAGATTCAACAACGCAGACTGTGTACAACTGTAAATTTCAAACGGAAAATTGACTTGGTCGATTGGTCAACAATTGGTCGATTGGCGCGCGCTTTAACACTCAATCAACCAATCAGGTCTCCCTATCTCCGTATGTTATGCGTGTTGCATATATGTATTATGTATATGTGTCAAGTATCGTAAATAGATACACATGTGTAATCTTTCCGTTCTATCAAATTTATTGTATCATTTATTTTCGATTCTATTCCACTTTTTTATTTTCTCTAATTATATTTTAAATTTTGCTAAAGATTATTCTTTAAGAATTATATTTCTATTAAATAAGTGCAATGAAAAAGAAAATATTTGTTGAAAATATTTATAATATTTGTCACCTATATATACTGACTCAATATTCTTGAAAAATATTACATACGGAAATATATATAAATATAATATACGTTACATACATATATGTATGTATTATAATATAGATTTCCTCTAGTATTTTTTTGTATGCGACACTTCTTAGGAATATATGGTATTAATAACAAATTTCTTTCTATTTCTCTGTCAATATAAGAACAATAAAATAAAAATGAATGTAGTGTAAGCTACAAGCGTACTGTGAAACAGCGAGATCACAATAACAGGATAACATATATATGAAAATATATACATGTGTAGTGTAAGTTTACTCATCAATAAGTAAAACGCGATCTGAACAAGAATTGAAATCGTTATAGTGATTCTTATATGTATAAATACGAAAAATTTAGATAAGTTTAGATTAAATTTTTACTTTATATGATATGCGTATCTTATCTTTTCTCACGAAGATGAAAATAAAATTAATTGTGTAAGGATCAAGATTTATTACAAAATTTATTCTCCTATATATAATGACACAATGTATAATGTTATCAATGTATCATACCGGTTTTACAGTCCCCTTGTCCTGCTAAGAAGTCACTAATTTAATACGCACGTTTTATCTTGTAACGCACAGCTCGTTATAGTGCTATGTGCTGTTTACGAGCGACATATTTTATCACGGTCGCCGCGTCAGAGTTATCTCTGCAGTTAAATATTAACTATACTAATAAAGCACTGTCTTATATGTGTAAGTCTAATATATATGTTTTTTTCGCGCGAAGAGTGCTCTTTATTTTATCAAAGCCAACTTATTCTATATCTTTCTCTTTGTATGGATTCACTATATACATATAAACACACGATTTTTCATAAAAGTATAAGAAATATGTGCTTTTCATATATTTTCTTTTCATCGTACAAGTGTTCGCGCGATCGTGAATATCGTGATGTATGTGTTTTTATCATTTTTAAGTTTAAAAAGCGAAGTCGAGTTACATCACTTTGCTTACCTCGCATAATTGCGCAAGTCTATTACGCAAGTGATTTGTACTTTTATGATATCGCAGCGTTTTAAAATTCAATGTAAAAAGTATTTCAATTTAATTTATAGCATTTTAATGGCGGATTTGAACCGACCTGGATTGGATTAATGACGTCACGTACTCTACTATTGGTTGACGCGTTACAATATATGCTCTATCAGTATAGTAGAGCTTACAGCTGCACGTACAGGGTGTTAGTTAAGTATGTTGCCATACTCAACAGAGCGATTCTTTGATTTATTTCAAGTAAAAAAGTCTATATAAACATATGTGTTCTAACGGTTTATTTATATAGTTTCCGAAATACGTAGGTGAATGTTCGCAAATGTTTGACGAAACATTTAAATGGTAAATTGCGTTGAAGATACGTACGTATCTTCCTGCATAATAATATGCCTTGCTTCACGTGAATTACCATTCGCGCAACCGTAAACAATGTGACAAAGTCAAAATCAAAAATAGACTTCAGTCCTGCAGCGATGTTGCTGCGGGTCATTTAGCTTGTATGTACATATACTATACGTTTCGGGGCCAAATCGTTTCAGTTCATTAAAATCGATTTCATCATGCCTAAGTTTACAAATTTTGAAATGGTAGATATGCAATTTGCCTATTTGCAAATGGTAACTCACGTACGAGGCAAGACGTATATTTATGCAGGAAGATATATCTCCAATTTACCATTTCGTCAAACATTTGCGAACATTCACCAGTATTTCGGAAATTAAGCCGTTTAGGACACATATACGTTTATATGGATCTAATTACTGAAAATAAATCAAAGAATCGCTCTGTTGAGTATGGCAACATATACTTTAACTATGACACCTTAATATAGATCGATACCAATAGCCTATATAAAGGCCTTTGCACGTAAAAAAGCGTTAACCGTAACCGTAATTTTAGTAGTCTCCAACGTACAATCAGATGGAGCAATTGCAAGTAAAATTCCGTAAACGTAATTTTAAAGTTAGTAGTAAAAATTTCGTCATGTTGGAATTTTACATTTAACGCCTTATAATGCCAACCAATAGGAAAGCTATCAGGTTAATTATTTATACACTATTTTGGCACTATCATGGTCGCAGTTTTCGTTTCTGATGTTTGGAAAAGAGATAATTCGAGTCAAACAATAAAAAGGAAGGTTAAAGTTACTGTTAACGATTTTTTTACGTGAAAAGGCATTAAGGAAATCCTAAATGGATGTATGTACTGTCGCAATCATCGACATATAAGTATGGACTGCGCAATCCATACATAAAAAGTGTCCGGCGAATTAAACAAAGAGGAAACGCGGTGTGAGTAGAGTCCCTATACTAAGAGTCTGGCCAAGGTCTAGTTCTTTGGTCTAGTTCGACAAAACATGGCGTCGTCGTACATAACCAAAAACGTGATGTGATCGATGTGGTACTGCACTATTCGATAAAATAATGAAACGGTATATTACATTTCGCATAAAAATTGATTGCAACAAAGGACGATTACTTTATATATTAAAATAAGAATTATACATATAGTAGTAAAACTATGACTAGGCATGCTGCTATGATATAATTTACTTATATCATTTTAATGTATTTTATAAGTAATGTATTTATAAGTAAAAATTAGAGGATATGTTTACTTATGAATACTATTAAAATTTATTTGTATTTGTATTTTTACATTAAATAAAATGTTAAAAACAACTTTATTATCTCATTGTTCTGTTCCTACTAACTGAATAAAACTGGAGCTGTTTAATAATAATGCTGCTATTAAATGATATAATTGTTTATTTATGAATACATTAATTTAAATTATATTTGTATTTTCACATTAAAAAATTGTTAAAAACAGCTTTATTACATTATTGTTCTATTCTCGATTATGTTAGTGAGTTAAGCGGGAAGCACAGGCTTTTGCATAACGCATAAAGCATGTGCATAAGGAATTTCATTGGTCCATTTTCTTATGCATGAGTCAGTGGACCAATCAAATTCTTTATGTATATGGTTTATGCGTTATGCAAGAGTCTGTGCTCCCCGCTTAATTCTGGACAAGTTTTTGTAAGTACCGCGGTGTGACAAGAGAAGCATTTTGATTGGTTGATTGTCTTATGCGTCTTGCATATGCGTCATACAAAAGTGTGTGCTGTGGTCTTACTACTTGTGTTTTCTTCCACCGTCTTCCACCATGTTTAACATGCTTTTAATCTTTTTGTGACGGTAGGAAACGTAGTTCTTTCAAATTACATTAATTTATTTCATTAGTTAGTTTTTAGGCATTTACACGTATGTAATGTAGAAACCTATCAATATTGAGAATTACGTTATTGATAGATGTATGTACGATAAAAATTTTAATTCAATGTCATACAACGTGATTATTACAAAACATTTATTGCAATGATGACTGATCATATCGATGCTTCTTTGCTGTTTACATTGAAAAAGGAACCGAATGTCTGTAATGATAACGATATTAATTCGATTAATATCGACGACATTTCATCTTTGCCGTTACCGTCACTTTCTAAAGTTAATTCCGTCATCGTCAACGAAACCAACAATGAGTTCTTACGTCTCACCACAATGGCATGTTTCTTTGCATATACATAACGTGTGTGTGTGTGTGGTATATAATACATATGTATATTATGTTTCTTAGCATTAAAGTTTAGTCAAATTTAGTATGCTTAAAACTGTAGCAAACTGAGTATAAAGAGATATATAATATTGGTTTTTAATTGCTTTAATTTAGTGTTATTTTAGACAGAATATAAATCTAGAAATAATTTTTATTATCAAATTTTTATTTAGCGTTGAAAGTTAAGTTTTATAAATTGCCATTTCGAAAATTTAAATGATATGTTTATTGCATAATATAAAAAATTAATTAGAATGAAGTTGTATTACAAAAACATTTAATTGAAAATTTTTATGAAAAAAAGTATCTTGTCAATTATAATGATTGTCACATTATATGGACAACTGTTTTACAATATATATTTGTACAGGTCCGTACTGTATATTTGTCCTATCTTCATAAATGCTTACTTAGTAATTATGCAACTTGTTGCAAAGAAATTGATATACCAAGCATTGAAGTGAAAAATTGTGCGGATCAAATGGAATTACATGCTGTCCAATTAGCACTGGAAGCTAGTATATATAGGCAAAATATGCTGAGAATGGTAATAAATATTATTGTTTAAAATGGTTAACAAAGGAAGATAATATTTCCTCATTGATGTTTTATATAGTTTTAATTTTGTTTGCCTTTGTAGATTGATGATATAAGATCACATACAGTTAAAAAGAAAGCATATAAAAAATTGGTCATATTTTTAGAAACATCAAAAGATAGAACTGACATCGCTGTACAAACAGATGACACATGGATAGATACTGAAAGAACAAATATACAAAATGTGTCTATTAAGTTAAACGAGAAACCACTGCAAACAGTATTACCCACTATGAATTCTAATAATTTCTTTAAAAGTGAGAGTGTTATGGAAAATTTTAATGATGGAATTCCCTCCATAGATACAAAAGAAACAGATATGCAATCGCTGCAGAGTATCGCAATAGAAGACTCAAATGACGCTAGTCAAGAATTTAATTATCAGATGCATTCTCATATAACAGATAACGTATCTGTCAGGCATGAAGGCGAAAATTCACAGGATTCTTTATTACAACATATGCAAGATATGTTTTGCGAAAGTGACGATAGTAGTGATCTTACGAGATTAATTGAGAAACATTCTGGTGTTACTAAAGCAAATATCGATAAAGAAATTAACAAAATATGTTCAGAAGCAGATATTGTGGTAGACCCAAATCTTTTTAACGTTTCAATAAATAATTACGTATCAAAGCCTAATGTAGCAAAAATAAGTACAAGCAAAGGAAGAATCAGTTTCAGTCACTATAAAGAAATGCAAAGTAAAAAAGCCATTAAATTAAAAGGATTTAATACAAACGAAACTGTTGAAAGTAAGCAAAAACAAAAGATAAATGCTATTTGGTTTGTGGAACGCGTGCATCAAGTTTCAAAATTAAAAGCTAAAATGACTGAATTATCACTGACAAATTATCGAAAGCATGGAAGAATAAAGGAAACATTTCTTCGTTTATTTGGGGAATTTGAGGAAGAGGAAATGATGCCAGATTCACCAATATGTATAGAAGAACATTTGCCAGCTTGTAAAGAAAGAATAGCACCTTGGATTGTGAAATACTTAATGCCATTTTACAAAAAAAGAAGAATTAAAGATCGTCAGCTTTTTAAAGCTGTTGCAAAGTACATCACAGATATGCTCATTATAGAGAATACTTTTCCAGGTGAGCCACTGATCGATCCGATAGTTACATTTTTACATTAAGTGTTAATATAATTTTAATAATAGTAAACAAAAATAATTGTATTAGGTATATTATGGATGATTATTTCGTTTTTCGTAATCAATCGAGTATTTTAATATAACACTAATGGAGAATCGCGCGATCAATACTTAGTTTAAAAGGATTTAGTCGATGGTATAATGCCTAATTTTAATTTTTTCAATTTCAAATGTTTCTAATTTATATTGTTTCTTTCCGTATATTTAATGGAGAATAAATATTATTGGAAGGAAAAAAGATATAGCTATTCTGTGTACCTCATAATGGTCAATTTATGATTCACAGTATATCACAGGCAGGACCAGGCATATATTTGAAATACTTTTATTTGAAAAACAGTATTCATAAGACAATTGTATATTTTGTGTTTCAAATACTAAGATTGACAATCAATCTAATCTTATTGTTTGAATTAAAAAATGCGTAAAACATTCAATTTTTTTTTTTCGAATCCAAAGTACACATAATTCGCATGTGCTTTATTGAAATACAAAATACACTTGTGTATTGCAAAAACTGTGTTTTAAATGGAAAATGTATTTCAAATACATGGTCCCCCAGCTCTGAATGTAGCAATAAAAAACTTACATTAGCAAATTATTTCGTATTCATAATATTCATATATTCTTCTGTTTATATATTTCAGAACAAGAGTGTGTAAGTAAGTATATAGAAGATTATTTCAAGAACAAGAGGTTTATTAAGACTAAACAGGATATATATCTATAAGAAATTGGTAGTGTTATTCATTAATGTAATACAAATCAATGAAACATGTATAGAAATTGTAACTTACTATAGATAATATCTTGCATAACTTTTTTATTTTGTTCGTGTATCACTCGATAGAATTAAATATTTATTACAATGTAAATACTCATGAATAAAATACAAAATTTTGCCCAAACTTTGAAGTAGAAATTTAATTTTAGGAAAGAGGTGGGTGGATGGATGTGTGTTTATGGTTATTTTTTGAAATTATCTCTTTCCAATTGCACTATCTTCTATTAAATTAAAAACTAATAGTTTACGTATCAAATTTTTAATTACGTTAAATAGTACACTAGCTACATAATTAACAAAATAAGGAGTACATTTTATGATATAACTCTTATGAATAATAACATTTTTTTTTTTGCTTATTTCTTTTGTTATAAACAGTATTATATGATAACAGCAGACAGAATCAACCTAGTAAAGTGTAAGAATGATTTTGCCAATTTATCATATTTATTTATTTCCTTATAAAGATACTTTATTATACTTTTCGTGTAATAATAAAGTAGAAATGAATATTTCCAAATAAGCATCCTGATTTGATATTATAGTATAGGTACCTTACTTGATTCTTACAAAGAATAAGAATATTCGTGACTTCCAAATAAGATCATAAAATCCAGTAAATTAAGGGCGAATGAGAGTGCAGCGTTATTATTGGTACGCACAGTAGTACGAAGATGTCAATGTAACGTTCCAAATAAGATGTCAATGTAATGAAAACATGATCTCAAATGTGATAGCGTGGTGGAAAAGGTATTAGGTGATACTTTTTTTTATAATGACTTATGTATTACGTATTTTTCCAGGTACATAATTTTTGTCTATTACAGGTTCTTGCAGAAACATGTGCAAACACCGTTCGTTCTGTGCCAAAGGATGTCCAGCTATTCTGAAATACAAATGATTACACGATATGAATAATTACACAAATTCATACGTTTAGGTAAAATATTATTACAGACAATCATTGACATTTGTTGGAGTATATTACATGTGCAGGATATAGTGCTACGATCAGAATATATAAATGATTTCAATAGAATACACATGATTAAGAAATCACGCGCTTCAGAGTAACTGTCGTTTCGTATTCATACTGAACATGATTTCTGCAAAAAAAAAGTTGCCTATTTTTATGATTAAATTAAATTAAAACGACAAATTCTATTATCTTTGAAAGTCATTATTCATTTGAGAAAAATAATCATATTTTTCCATTGATATTTATTTCTCTCAAAGAATAGAAATAATCGCAATTAAACAAATGTCCCATTAGATCCTTAAAGAACTAGAATAAAATTTTTTAAATAATTACAAAGTACTAGATTAAATAATCACTTGTACATATAAGTTAAAGACTGCATATTATTTCTTTGTACGAAATATAAACTGTACAATTTTTTATTGTACATAAAAATATGCTCACTTGTTAACAAAAAGTTCCAAGCCTTTTCTTCGATCTTCGATAAAATCTTCTTCAAATATTCCATCATCTCCACGAAAAGGCATTTGACGTTTCCATGCTTTTCCTGGTAAAGGAGGTACCACAATCTGTAATTTAAGAAAATGTATGAAAAATGGTTTTCTATTACATTATATTGTATCGTAAGATACATAGATAAAAGTATCAAATCTTTAACAATTGTGGTTTAATGGCTCCCTGAAAAGGAGAAAGATAACCATGAGTCCTGGTGTAAATCTATATCTAGAAATATATAATACTTTTTTCATATTGTCTCACCAATTTTATAGTAAAGTAATAAGTTTAATAAATAAATGTTTTCTTTTTCAAATAGTTGACAAATTGATACTTTTTAAATGTTGTACATTTCTATTCAAAGGGGAAAGAGAGGATACGAGTAAAAAGATTCATTCTATAACTCGTGCTGTTTTCAAGCATAATTATCTCTTTTAGTAACTAACCTTGCTATCTCTTTCTAATTCATTTCTCAGCCATTCAAAATCACTGTATCGTCTTCTTACTGTTGAGTCTTTTACTTTAAAGACTGGTAAGTTTGTCTGAAAAAAGTCAATAACTTTGAAATGATTGAGTTTGAAATATTTATGATATGTATGCTTATACATATGTACAATGTAAACACCATGCGTACGCACATGTATTTTCATATAAATTCATCATATACAGCTATCTTCAATTTTCCAATGTTATATAGTTTCATGCCTAGGTGCTCTAAGTCTGGCCGAATTTATGATATTAATATCCATATATAAAAATACAGATAGTAAATAAAAAAACAAGATATCAATATATTAGATTTTTGAGAACACATCTGTTTTGAAATCTACTGAGCAATGAATGTATAATATATACGTTGGTCTTTATCAATATGATAGTGGGAACAACCCACAATATACCTACATCTAATCAATCGGTAGACATGACTGAATTATGATTATTCGATGCGTCTGTTTCATCGGTGCAGGCGTAAAAAAAAAAAAACTATTGGAAAGACTAAATTTCAACATGCCAGCTGTGTGAAACTTTGCACGAATGTTAATATATAAAGCAAAATAGATGTTACTCACCCTCATACGAACTTCATAATCGGTATATCGTTTCTTGCCGACACCATGTGTAATCGGATTAATCACATCAATCTCAAGGAAGTTTGCAGGCGCCGCATAAGCGTCGTCCAGTGTTTGTTTTTTCACATTTAAGCGTCGCGTTGCGTCTACGGTTGTATCTGCCATTTCAATTACAAGTTTCAATTAAATATGCGTTCAATTTGGCAGATTTTGTTTCTACTAAACGCTCGAAAACACTATCCGACATGCAACGAATGTTACAGAACACCACCAGACATGACAGCGCTTAGTAACTTGACACGACTCGTCTGATACGTCTCTCTCTCTCACACACACACATTCTCTACTACGTCATCGCATATTATCGCGCCCTCGTGCGAATAATGCATATATACATACATACGTTGTATGTACATACTTTCAAGCCCAGGCGCATGCAAACACGTCAGGACGTAAAACGTAATCAGTAAGCGAATTGACCAATCACAGTTGAGACCGTAAGGCCGGTAGCGAATCCAATGTACGATTTCCTTACTGATTACGTCTTACGGCCTTATGTTTTTCTATGAGATGATGGCTTAAGGACTGCCGCACACACCTTCCGTAACAGTTAAGGTTGGATTATACTGGCCGTAATCTGTTAACTTATGCTGTAATCTGTAAAAATTGACCAATTATAATCGATTATTCCCCTCTCATTCAACTGTGATTGGTCAATTTTTACAGATTACGGCATAAGTTAACAGTTTACGGCCAGTATAAATCAACCTTTAAGCTGGAAACACAATGCGAGGGAATAGCGATAGCGATAAGTTTCAACCTATCAAAAATGTGTATTCCGGTGTATTCGATTTCTGATAAGTTGAAACTTATCGCTATCGCTATTCCCTCGCATTGTGTTTCCAGCTTTAAACGGGGAGCACAGACTTTTGCATAAAGCATGTGCATAAGGAATTTCATTGGTCCATTTTCTTATGCATGAGTCAATGGACCAATCAAATTCTTTATGTATATGGTTTATGCGTTATGCAAAAGTCTGTGCTCCCCGCTTAAGGCGAGAAACACACACTTTTGCATAACGCATAAACCATATACATAAAGAATTTGATTGGTCCATTGACTCATGCATAAGAAAATGGACCAATGAAATTCCTTATGCACATGCTTTATGCGTTATGCAAAAGTCTGTGCTCTCCGCTTAAGAATACAAGGTGTACCATTCCCGAGATGCGCAGTGGTTTTGCTCTTCAACCAATCAGAGTTCGCCCTCAAATCTAAGAAGTGACATGGCTTCTTCCATACAATAGCTGCGTTTGGCAATGTAAATCTGAGGCATCGGAGTGCTCTTTTTCTATAGTGCACGTGACATATGCTATAATATAAGAGCACTCCGACACCTCAGATTTGCTATTACCGAACGCAGCTAATGCAGCATAGCTGTCAAACTATGTTGATATTGAATATCGTTTATTCATTTAGTTTAGTTTTGTATAATATATTATAGTTTGCAGAAATGCCAGCGTGCTATGTAAAATATATATCCGAGATTATAAAAAATATATATGTTCGGTTATGTTGCTCATAGATTCCGCAATCGTATAGTGATTTGGGAGTTCCCACGAAAAATTTGCCAAATCCATCATATAACGATTGGATTTGCACGATATCCTGAGGAAATTGCAATGTATCTCTCTGAAAAGCTGCAAAATGTAGCAGAAATTATAGATGATGAATTTTTTAAATTTCACGGTACTTCTTTCAGTAAAGAAAACTTTTGATAAAACAGATGTATAATGTAAATTTAGTATTTTATTGTCATTCTTACATATTCACTTTCATATATAGTTGTATTACACGGTTTTTTAGAGCATTATTAAGTATTGATAGTCTGATCTTAGTACAGCGTTTGAATCTCGTGCAACATTTAGGGGCGAAATTGGATTGGTTGCTCCAGTATTCAGTCGTCATTATGTACACGCGTGTTCTAGAGTCGCGGGGCACGTAGGAAAGGATGCGCAATACTAATAAACTCAATTTGACTTAACAGGATATATAAATGTATTTTAATATCACAAAAATCTCAAATATCAGGTACACTATCGACACGTGGACGTATATGAGAGAGCCTCTGTATATATATATTTTTAAAGAGTAACTTTTCTTCTTCTCTTTTGGCCGGGTCGGGCTTGCGCAGTGATGCTGGTATGTGATTACGCGACATGCCGATTGTCCAGTGTCGTGATTGGTCGGCGTATGTGGCTTGGCTGCAGGTGCTGCTGCAGGCGTGCTAGTGCTGCCACAATACACCTTGTTTTCTTACATCATGGTTACAACAGTTGAGTCTGCTGAACGCAACCAAATGTGTTCCATGGCGTTGCATAGCGTAAAGCATATAGGAATTTGGAGCAATTTGGATTCACACTTCCTTTGAATTCTTCCACGTTTTGAAGACATTTAATCGGTATGCATTAATATATCGCATTATACGGTTTTTATTCTAACTCTTTACATGAGATAAATTGTTTAAAAATATTAATATAGTAATGTTGACATTAATTTCGGAAATATTTTAAAATATACTTGGAAAAATAATTATGAATTGATAGGTTATAAATGGAGTTTAACAGCTTTTACATTTGTCACAATTAAAAGACAGTCAATGAGATAATTTAATGCATTATTCGTATTGTTTTTTTTTATTTGTGTGTTTAATTTTTATTTATTTTTTTCCTTTCTACTTATTCAAGTTTGTTAAAGCAATGTTTTAAAGTGACATTTTTTTTGCCAGATTAATTCATTATACAAAAAAAAAAAAAATGCGTCGATTGGTACTTTTTGTTCATTTTTTATGATTCTGTATGCTAAATGCTAAACTAAACAATTACCTTATTTTTTAATTTATTTTATATTTTTTGTTTACTTTAGTTATTTTATACATATTTTTTATGTTTTTCATGTTTTTTTATGATTTACAGTTTTGTAAAATACATATATTTGATACATCTTTCGTATGTTTCAAGTTGTTTATGATAGTCCAACAATTCTTAAAATTTGTTTAAATTAGCGTGTCATTATGCCACCAAAAAAATCAATGGAGGAGACGGATCGATTGACTCGTATAGCGATAGTGAATTCTGATAAATGTAAACCTAAACGGTGTAGACAAGAATGTAAGAGATCTTGTCCTGTAGTACGAATGGGAAAACTTTGTATAGAGGTTAATCCAAATAGTAAAATAGCAGCCATCTCTGAAGAACTATGTATTGGCTGTGGTATCTGTGTCAAGGTAATTTTATTGTATAATAAAATTATATAATGATTTTATATGATATAAAATAATTTTGATAAAATTAATACGTTGAATACTAAACTTTGAGATGATATTTATAATGATGATAAATCGAATTCAACAAAGTATGTAAAATTAATTACATTTTCTCTATGTATAATTATTATTTCGAAAAATTTTAATACGATAATAATAAATAACTTTTGTCTTGACAATGATAAAAGATTGTTTCTTGTAGAAATGTCCCTTTGAAGCGATATCCATTATTAATCTTCCTAGTAATTTAGAGAAGGAAACAACACATCGTTATTCTAAGAACTCATTTAAGCTACACAGACTTCCTATTCCACGTCCTGGTGAAGTTTTAGGGCTGGTAGGAACTAATGGAATTGGTAAATCAACTGCCCTTAAAATTTTAGCTGGAAAGCAAAAACCAAATTTGGGAAGATATTCTGTATGTGATTTCTATATCTCATAATACATACATTGCATGTGCATATTTACATATGTATGTGTGTGTATCACCTATTATTAAAATGGACATGAAGCAATAGTATATAAAACTTTCTTATTCAAACAGGATCCACCAGACTGGACAGAGATTTTGAGCCATTTTAGAGGTAGCGAGTTGCAGAATTATTTTACAAAAATTTTGGAAGATGATTTGAAGGCTCTTATTAAACCTCAATATGTTGATCAAATTCCTAAAGCCGTGAAAGGTACCGTGCAACAACTTTTAGATAAAAAAGATGAATGCAAGAATCAGATGGAAATTTGTGAAATGCTCGGTATGTAAACATCTTTATCTTTCTTTTTGTCATTGTTTTTATTTAAATTGATTAGAGATATTGGAAGAAAAATTTTGATAATCTGTATTCTATCTATAGTTTTACTGATATATATCTTTCTTAGATTTGCTGCATATACGTGATCGAGGTATCGAAGCACTTTCTGGTGGTGAACTTCAACGGTTTGCTTGTGCAATGGTATGCATCCAGAATGGAGATATTTTTATGTTTGATGAACCTTCTTCTTATCTAGATGTTAAGCAGCGGCTCAATGCTGCTGTGACTATTAGGTCTCTCATTCATCCAGACAAGTAAGCATCTGTTTGAAAGATGATTACTTTTGATTAGATTGTTAATATACTTATTACTTGTTTTAATACATCAGGTTCATAATAGTTGTGGAACATGATTTATCAGTTTTGGACTATTTATCTGACTTTATTTGTTGCCTATATGGTGTTCCTGGGGCATATGGCGTTGTTACCATGCCTTTTTCCGTAAGAGAAGGGATAAACATTTTCCTCGATGGATTTGTTCCTACGGAAAATTTACGGTTTCGTGAAGAATCTCTCGTATTTAAAGTGGCAGAAAGTGCAACTGAGGAAGAAGTGAAACGCATGAATCACTACGAGTATCCTGCTATGACGAAAACAATGGGGACATTCAAGTTGAACGTCGAGAAAGGACAATTCACTGATTCGGAAATACTCGTTTTATTAGGAGAAAATGGGACTGGTAAAACAACGTTTATCAGAATGCTGGCTGGCAACTTACCTCCTGATGATGGATCAGGTACGCTCGTATGTGTGAACGTATAAGTACATACATATAGTATTTATCATTGGCAGTAACGGCTACTTAAAAAGCAGTGTAAATATTTTATGTCATTTTTGATTATATAAATGGGATAAAATAAAAGTCAACTCACGTGATGTCTGTTTTTTTGGTTCAAATTATTTCTTAAATGTTATTTATGATGTATGACCGCTTGATATAATTTGTGTTAACGAAATTGCTATCTTGCAGAAAGTATCCCTCAACTTCACATCAGTTATAAACCACAAAAGATTAGTCCCAAATCTCAAGGCATTGTCAGGCAGTTGTTACATGAGAAAATCCGAGATGCATACGTGCATCCTCAATTTGTAACTGATGTAATGAAGCCTTTGAAGATCGACGATATTATGGATCAGGAAGTGCAAAATCTTTCCGGTGGAGAGTTACAGCGAGTTGCACT